CCCCATGCCATTTCCTTCTGTGCAACATATTGCAGGTCATTTAATGAAAGTGGTGTCTTTCACATATTTACACCTTGGCTTTAAATGGATGGTTACTCATGGACTAAACAAAGTGTGGGGTGCTTCATTTTTCCCTAAATGTTCTCTTACTGCCATGATTATTTGTGTCTTTTATTCATGACCACCATTCCTCATCCACTCTACTTCCCTCTCTGTGCGTTTTACCTCATTACTCTCTTCCTTGAATTGTCTGATTGCTGAGAGCTCTGGTCATTGGAACAGGCTGCTTTTGAAGTATTCATTGATACTTATGAGCAAGTGAGGAATCAGATCTATGTCAAGGCTTTGTTCATTGGGTGTTGCGGCATCCTGTTAAAGTTAAAGCCACTGAGGCTGTGGGGTATGGAATCCCTTAATGTTGTGTGTGTGGTTAGATATTGTCAGTCAACCTTCTTGTTGGGTAACTAAGTGTATCTCAGACCAACGGGGAATCACACTATGGAGAAAAGAGACCAAGTGGAGAAAGAAAAAGAAGATAAAAAAAAAATTCTTTTCAAAAAAAAAAAAAAAAAAAAAAAAAAAAAAAAAAAGTCTTTCCCAAAATGCTTCTGACTGGAGCGTTACCTTTTGCAATTGCAAGCAGACAGCACTGTTCTCTTTTCTATTGGAAGAAGTTGGATCTTCGGAGTCTGAGCAACAAGCCTGCAGTCATTATCTGGAAGGGAGGAGCCTGAAGCTTCTGGAGTCCTCCCCTCTTCTGTTCCTGTCCCTGTCCCTCTCTACTTTACCCACTGGTCACTACACAGACTGCTCTGAATCGGGGCAGAAATCACGTTCAGCAATGCATTCCCAAGTCCAAGTGTATTCAAATTCAGAATGTCAGTTTTGTTTTAAAATATGTAAATATCCATATCAATGTAAAGACCCTTGGCTTTAAAGTAACATTTAAGGGGCTTTCTGAAATTTGCCGTCCTTGCCTTCATGTGGCCAGAGCTTTCTACTCAGTTCTACTGGATTTGTCTTTATTTGTCTAAGTTTTTTTTAAAGCTTAGGACAGCTAAAACTCAACTTCTTGATCTGTATTCCTGTCCCCAAAATATTTTATACCTGTGTCAGTAAAATACACCACCATCCACTCAATTACTGAAATCCCAAACTCTATCTCCATTGGGACCTCTCCTTTATCACCTGCCGTCAGAGCTGCCGTCTACTTTTGCACACGTTGTGTTGAACAAGTGCTGTGAATTGAAGCACTGATGTTGCTCCCCACCACTGCCCAATAATTCGAAGCCCTGGGGGCCATCATCTGGACCACTTAAGGAAGTCCTCAGGTGTCAGTATGGCTTTCAGTCTCTGCACTTCTCTCCTGACACAGTAGTCAGAGGTATCTAAGGTGATTCCCCTGTTCCCCAACTCATGGTACCTAGCCTCACAGACTACATAGCAACTCACTGAATTTTGCCTAGATCTTAGGGAAGTATGCTATTCACACCTTGTGATCCAATCTACCCTGTCCTTCTGACCCTCACGTGGGCTGAGCATTGCCTGCATATGAGCATGTTGACTCCTAGATCACAGCCAACTGTCTGGTCATTCTAGAAGCTTGTCCTGGCAATGTCCTCCAGCTCTCTCAATTTTATTTTCCTGTTTACAATGCTTGAAACTATACGACACTCCCACCTAGACCCCCATAGAACACCTCTCCAGCATTCAGCAAGCTTCCTTGGGCTGGGTGTGTACATGAATTCCATGCAGTGCATTGATGTCTTTACAGGTGCTTCTGACAGTGTTTCATACTGGCTGCAAGAGTATTGTTTGAAAAATTAAGTTCGGAGACCATAATGTATACAACTCATTTTTCATTCATATCTCATGCTTTCCATGTTCTCTTCAGAAAACTAGAGTCTTGGGGGCTTTAGGGTTCTTCTAGAAAGAGCTGATATAAAGAATTATGGGGTGTGATTAATGGATTCTATAACCAGGCTGTATCTGACTGTCAAGATTTGAATCATATGTGTGCCCAATTTGATGCTCAAAATTTCTCACAAGATAACTTTGAAAACCCTTGTGTTGATGACACTGGGAAGCAAGTAGTCCAGGCTGAGATGTTCTTAAGAATAGACACTTACAGGTGGCAGCAAGAAGAATCACAGGCAACTAAGATAACAAGAATAGAGTGCTCAGAAGATTGGAGATGGCATTTGAGACTGCAGCATGCCACACAGGGAGGCAGAGCTAGACTGCATTGGAGAGCAGTTGGCTGGGCTGCCAGCTCCAGACCTTTGGGTCCTGACTCTGCCCCTGGCTACCTGCATGACCGTGAAAACTTCGTTTCCACTGTGTTGCTTTTCAGATTGAACAAGACAGTTTCCTAAAGTAATAAGAATGCTGCTAGGTGTGTGCGGTTCACTTGGTGGCAGTCTAATCGGTATTTGTGTTAATCCTTCACCATCTCTGCCATTCCAATCCTTATCTGTACATTGTGGATGACAGCTCTTATTACCCACAATGTTTGACCTAAGTTTATGAATGTAAGACGTGTGCCATTAATGTTATTAGGAACTTCATAAATCATTTGCCCACATATTCTATGTAATTGGATCTTTATAAGCATCCAGTGAGAAGGAATAGAATTATCCATATTTTCAGATAAAGAGGAGGGGTATCTTTAACAAAATTAAAGACATATAGAGTCAGAATCTATGACCTTGAACTTTTTTCTTTTGACTATTTAGAATATAGACAGAATGAAAAAATATTCCCCCAAACCAAAATGGAAGATGCCTTCTCTTGGTTCTCATTTACTTTAGACAGGGTCTTGGTACATAGCTCAGGCTAGTCTCGAACTCACAATCTTCTTGCTATTGCTTCCAGAGCACTAGGATTGCAGACTGCGGGCATGTGCCAGCTTGCCTGTTTCAACCCCTTCTTATTTCGCTTAAGCTCCTGCTTATCCTGGAGGAGTCAAGACGTTCTTTCGAAGTTAATGTAATGGTTTGGACCACTTTGTTAGAAAATGTTCTGTGTCCCTGGCTTCTAAGCAGTCTGCCATCAGATAGCTGCTCTGCTGGGCTGTGGGTCTGAACTATCCTCCCAGAAGACCCAAAACACTCAGGAAAAATAAACCCTTTGGTGTCTGCAAATGTTCCCACTTCATTGACTGATCTTCGTCTTCCCCCTAGACTGTTGAAGCAGGAGGGTTGTTTCAACCATCACATACTTTCTGCCCCCAACTTGCCCATATTGCTTTCTCACCTCCACATCTAGCTATTTGCTACACCATGGACCGGAAGTCAGTAGGAGCTTGAACTGACCTGGATGAGTCTTCTAGTTCCTGGGAGTCAACATCCTACCTCAGAGGGCTTAGTATCCTCCAAGTCCTAGTATTCAACACTTGTACTGAGAATTTCTTTTGTTAGCACAAAGTCCACATGTGCTTGAAGACTTGCGCAAAATCAGGATCACCTTCAAGAGATTTAGTTTGTTCAACAAAGAAAGGTCGAAACAAGGACACTTAAAATGAGATTAATTACCCCCTAGAAACATCTAGTCTTCCTGTTCCTTTCTACCCTTAGTTCCTAATCTACATTTTGCATGTTTATTTTAGTTTTTGTTTCAATTTTGCTTATAAAATATTTGTCAATAGACTGAAAACAATTTATCAGTTACACACACACACACACACACACACACACACACACACACACAAACACACATGAGTTTCTTGGTTTTGTTTTGTTTGAGACAATGCCTCACACAGTGATTGCTGGCTTAGAACTAGCTATAGATTGGGGATGACCCCAAACTCATGATCTTCCTGCCTCTGCCTCTACTCACTGGGATTACAAGCATACATCACCATTCCCAGATATTAAAACTATTGATTTCACGCATAAGTATTGAACCCAATATATTCACAGGAAAAAATTACTTTAATTTAAGCACCACTCTCTACAAAGCAAGTCCTGGGCAAAATCTCTTTTCGCAACCCTTCTAAAGCAGCTTACATTGAAAAAACTCACCCGGAAATGGCCTTCTTTGGGATCTGTTGGAAACATCCACATGACTCAGTGTGCTGGAGGAGAAATCAGCCAGGAAGTGGCTGTTCCCATTCTTTCTTCCTGCCCAGACAAGTGGACCTCAGCGTTTCTCTGAAGCTGTCATACCCTCAAGGCATCATCCCAGGCCCTTGCTCTCCAGACTCCTAAACGACAACTAGGGGATAGATTCAGTTAGAATTCATCAACTTTGCCCACCCTGCCCTTAGCCATCCTGTTTGACAACCAAGGCTTGTGGTGTCCCAAGACCTTGGCTGGTACCTCCTCTGTCCACCAACTACACTGGCCTCACCTTTTAGAGCAAGGCAGACCCAGTAACCATGGGCCTTGCTGAATCCACTCACCAGCCTTATGCCTAGTAGGAATCCTGTCTGCCCTGTGTCAATGGTAACTGTTCTGGGAAAATGTCACCCTTGGAGACTAAAAAGTAAGAGTCTCTCTGCCTCCCTCCCTCTCTCCCTCCCTCCCTTTCTCCCTCCCATCCCTCACTCCCTCTCTCTCCCTTCCTCCCCCCCCCCGCCCCCGTATGTATGTGTTTGTGGAGAGTGTGACTCAGGGATCAACTTTGAGTATTACGCCTCATGTGCCTTCCACCTAGTTTCAGAGACAAGGTCTCACTATCATGGAGCTCACCAAGATGGCTAGGTGCCCTGGCCAGCAAGCCCCAGGGATCTGCCTCTCTCTACCTTTCCTGCAGTAAGATTACAAGCACGGGCACAACCACACCTATCTATTTATGTATGTTCTAGGGATTGAGGTCAGATCCTTGTGCTTGAAGACAGTGATTCTATTTTAGTTCTAACACTACAGATTTCCTTAATGGGATGTCAATATTCCTCTTAGTATTCAGCGGAATCTGCGTTCCTCCTTGGAATACCATTTTCCTGCTTTCTGAAGCAGCACATATGTTCCTGCTAAAAAGAACAGCAGCAAGCACCACACGCTCGTTGTCTCTCCAAAGTGGAATGTGGGATGGGAGCACACACAGACAGAGCCAGGCCTGTGTGCAATGCCAGGCGATGCCAGGCCAGCTGACAGTTTGTGGCATGTCGGTGTGAGATATCAAAATCCAAAGAGACTCGAGCACAGACTTGTTTATGATTCAGTTGCTATAAGATGGAATCTGAGCCATCTCAGTAATATTCATGAAAACAAGACAAAATAGGATTTTCTAAGGATCAACACCAGAGAAGCCGAGGGAGCAGGGGATGAGTTCAAGAATGGACGTCTTCTGGTGCTGACAAGAGTGATTTGAACAAAATTTGTTCTTTTTATATGTAAATGAGCTGTCTGCTTTACAGCTGGCATGATTTCTTGCTCCCCAGCACAGATAATCCAACAGTGTTTTCAGACAGCACCGTTGTTCCAGATGAGGTTACATTTCCACTTTCTTTCCCCAGACTACCTGATGAAGTTTTTGACTCGGTCCTGGATATGGAGTATATTTTAGCATCCATAATGTTTCCTAAGTTAAGATGTGAGTTCCAGCTTCTTGCCCACCTTTTTCTCCTCTTATAAAAACATGTTTCCACTTAACACACAGAGAGACACACATAAATTATGGTGACTTCTTTTTATATTGTTCTGTACATGACCAAGTAAGACATTTTATTTCAAGGCATATTTCCCAACCCGATCCTAGCCTTTTAGAAGAAAGAAATCAGTTTTACTTATAAGTGAATTGGCTGTAATGGAATTTAGGAGCAGTGGGGCTCAAATTTCAGTGCAGCAACAACTGCGAAACAGTCTTTCTGAAGGCAGGATTTTGAAACTCCTGCTTTTAAATCATCACCTGGATTCCTCTGTCATCTGCTTCTTCCACACAGCATCAGCTTCATGCTTTCCCCAAGTGTTAGCTGAGTTCTACTCTGAAGAGTATGGCCTTGAAATGCCGGATGCAAAGCTGATCCTTTACTGAGCAGGCCGAAGAGCAAGCTGTACAGAAAATTAACTAGGACTCTGAACACTGACTTACTGGTAAAGTGAAAAGACAGAATCCTCATTCCTGAGCATCCATCACAGTCTACAGATATCCACTGGCTGACTGTCCAAAAGGGGCACATTTGGACCTGATGAGCCTGTGAGGCTGGAGCAGGCAGCACATTGTCACTCTGGGCACTCATTAGCAGAAGCAAAGTGTCTGATCACAGAACTGCCCAAACAGTCCATGTTCCAGAAATGAATGTCCTACCAGTCCCAGAATCTCGGCATGCTTCACATATCATCTTATAGGAGAAGAGTTGTAAAATCTATGTGGTGGTGATTTAGAAGCACACACTCACGGTGCTCTTCCAGTGTGCCCATGGGCCTGTGGCATGAGGACAGCCTCCAGGATTGGTTTTCTTTCACTCGATCCTTTCTTCATCTTTTGTCATTCCCAGTTACATGAATGTCAATGGTATCTTTCATGAGAGAAATAGAATGACTTTGAGTTTTGGAAATCAGTTTTTCTTCTTACATTTTATTTTAACTTGGTAACTAGAAAGGGAAAAGAGAAATTTACAAAAATGAAGAAAAATTTCAAAGACTTTAAATGTTTCCCCTACATACCTACTTTTATACATTTATTCTTATTTTTCCAACAACTCTTGGTCGTGTTGGCAGTTATACATGGTTTATATTCTCTTTAGGGAAGTGTTTGTTAATTAAAATCTCCCACACAGCACTTAAGGAGAAATTAACTTTTTTTTATATATATATAATTTCTACAGAGGTCTTAGAAATGGTTAGTAAAGACTAACTTTTTAGCGTCCCAGATCTTAAGAACACACAAGCAGCAGTTGCTGTGAGCTTGTCTTTCAGGATGACGAGAGGAACATGTGTTAGAGGGAAATTTGAGATTAAAGAAGAAAACATACTGGAGAAGAACACAGAAAGCAATAAAACCTCTGAGAAAAGTTACAGAAAGCAGACATTTTCAATAAAAATAAACTAGAAGGAGCAAAGAGATAAAGAATAAAAATATAAAAATAAAAATAGTTACTAAATTAAAGACAGCTAAAATTTCAGAGAGCAGAGAATGGATGTGGAGCAGGTCAGTGGCCGTAGATCAGCTCAGTACCGTTAGAGTCTGCCTCTTCTAGGAAGCAGCTCTAAGCTCATCTTGGAAAGGATGCCCAGCTGCTGATGGAACTCTCCTTTTGTGGGTGTGGGTACCAGTCAGAAACACAGTACTCAATGCCACTTTCCTCCACCCAGTTGTGTTCTGGAGTATAGAGCCAGGGAACTCAGCAGCATAGTCTAGTAAATCTCCTTCGGAGATCGGTGCTGTAGAAGCTGGCACCCCAGGCTTCAGAAAATTGTTTCTTGAATTTCCTGAAAAAAGGAGGGGAAAACACAGAAAAACAGCCAGGCAGAGGCAACTGAAAATGAGAAAGCCTAAGACACCGGAGAAGCAATTAGGGACAGGGGCTATTAGGCTATTAAGTGTTCCATATATCTTTCCATGCATGATGTAAATTAACTTAATCTTAACATAATCGCTGGTGTAGACTGGTAACTGTGAAGCCCTATAATCGAGTCCGATGATTTATTGGACTAAAAACACAAGCTAAATTGGCTTATCAAGTCATTGGTAGAATCTAATTTTCTAGAGTACAAGAAGAAATAATATATAGGTGGCATTTTGGAGAAATGTAACGAAACATTAAGAATATGAGCCACAGATAAGACACTGTCCTCAGGCTGCGAAAGTCTTCCTTGTTTCTCAGGAAAGAGGCAGATCCTAATCTCAGAGGTGCTTAGATAAGAGCAGTGTCATCTGGGAGAAGCTGGAAGCCTGTGTTTGTTTCTCTAAGGCCCTGTGTGTGTGTAAGGCCACACACTGGACCTAGAGTACTTCCTGTCTTCTGTAGTGTGACCTCTCTTGATCTTTCCAGGCCTGGGTGTCTGTCATCAGGGTTCCCTGAGAACAGTCAGGGCACAGAGTTCCTTAGACTTACATCAGAGTTAAAGGTGCATTTCCGCCAGGCCACCCTGGAGTTCATTGTTCTGCTTTTATTGCAAGATTTATCCGGTGTGGTGATGCATGGTTTTTATACCAGCACTTGGGAGACTGAGGCAGGAGGATCATCACAAAGTCAGCCTTTTGTATACACACACACACACACACACACACACATTCATATACACATACAATATACTCACACAGACACATGTAGACTCTCACACAAACACTCATACACACATGCTATCTTATTATTTGTCTTAATATTATGACAAAGCATTTTAACAATAGCAATTTAAATAAGAAAAGGCTTATGGGCTTTACAGTCTTGGATACTGTCTGTCATGGCAGGGGGACATGGTGGCCATAGCAGGAGGCTCCTGCGCATGTTGCATCCACAATCAGGAATTAAAAAGATGAATCCTGGTGATCTAATCACTTTCTCCTGTTTAATCTTTCTGAACTCTGACCCAATTCCAAGGAACATTGCCACTCACATTCAGGGTGACTCTTCTTATCCCAGTTAAGCTAATATACATAATCCCTCACAGCCATTCCCAAAGGCTTGTCTCCTAAGTCTTTCCAGTGGAGTTGATAATCAACATTAACTATCAGAATTACCTTGTGTAGTTCTCATGCAAAATTTACAAAGTCTTGTTGTTGTTGTTCCCAGTGGGTCAACAGAATGAGTCATTTGTAAAAAGCCATAGTTTTTCAGGTATGATCCAGCTAGGAAACACAGTTTTATCTTCAGTTAAAAAATAAACAAACAAAAACAAAACAAATAACAAACCATCTTTAGGCTAGGGATGTAGCTTTTTGGTAGAGCTCTGTCCCAGCACATGTGAAGCCCTGAGGTCTCTCTCCAGCACCGTATAAACTGTGGATGGACCTGTGTCCTAATCCCATTACAACCAAGTAGAGGCTGTAGGCTATGAAGCTCAAGGTCATCCTCAGTAACACAGAGAATTCAAGACCATCGTGGATACATGATAACCTCCACCCCCACCCCCACATCTCCACTCCTCATCTGCCCAGATGTAGGGGAAAGAAGGTAAACTTTGACAGTTGTTACTAACACTGGATGCTAAGGCAAGAAAAAATGGCTGAGTTTCACAGGGGAAATGGTTCTTGGAGGGAAGGAGATGATTGGTTGGGATGTCTATGAGCACAGGCTGCCCCAAAGCTATCACCTGTCATCCCTTATTCCTGTACCCCTGCATGCTTACTTTAACACATCCAGTATAAGGCTCAGATCTCCATGAATTGGACTGTTGTGTTATTCTCTGATGTGAGACACTTGTCAGCTTCCAGCTAAAGTTACCTAGAATGATGGAAAGGTTCTTTGAGCCCAATAGATATGGTATGATTTAGATAACTGTAAGAAACATAGGCTGATATTTTATTTAATAATGACAGTACTTTTGTGGATGATGGAATCTTTGACTTGAGAACAACCCTGAAGATGCCTGCTCTTTGACCTCAGAATTCTCAAATAATGGGATAATTACCAGAGCAGAAGATGTTCTTTTCTTTATCTAGACATCCATGCCATGCTACAAGCATCTAGAACAGACACTGGCAACTTCTAGCCCTCAGGCAGAGGTTAGCAGAGGATGGAGACTATAGCTTATCCATTCACACAGTGACTGGGATTTCAGAGTTTGAACAAAACACATTGGCTGCCATTTCATGGTTTTTCCTGATTGCTTTTGTGCACAGCCTCCTTCCAAGACACAACGGCTCCATTTATTCTTATCATTACACTTCTATTGAGTATTTCTTTCTATGAGAGGAGAGCTGCCTGGCCCTTACACAAACCCAAGCTGGGGTATGTTTTATAGCCACCTTGCTCAACATCGTTGGAAGAAGAAAGCGAATGCTCCTATTGCTGGATACTATGTCAAAGTCACCAGGAAAAGAATCATTTATAATTAGTTTATATATTTCTATGAAAGCCACAAAATTATAATTTCTGTTCATTTCTGACTCCTTTTCCCTCCTTTCTGCTTTTTAGTATAAAACAATCAATCAATGGGCATAAGCACATTTTTACCCCAACCTTTCATCACAGGTCCTTCAAACTCTTGATCTTGGGAAATGCTTTTCAATAGCTCGGTCCAAAGAAAATGAGTAAAAAGGCAGAAGCAAAGGTTAAAGATCTACTGATGAGTGCATCACTTGTTCATACCATTTAATTTAAATAGTTAGAATTATTTTTTAATCCACCATTTAATTTTAGCCATTTTCTCATTTTATTGGCATAAGTTAATTATGCCTAATTATGAGTTTTGTTACATATTTTCACATATATATTATATATATAATGTATTTGCTGCCCACTACTCTCTTTTGACTCCCTCCTACTCCCACTGAGTCTTTTCCTCTTCCCAACCACTGCCCTCTTCTTTCATGCCATTTATTTGTTGTTTATTTATTTATTTTGATGGCCTAATGTGTCTAATTAGGGTTCCTGGTAAGCAAGGGGTCATTTATAAGAACACAGCCTGTTGGTCTTTTTGTGGCATTCTTACCCTATGAGGAAATGTCACGAAACACGACAGAATCCACTAACAAGGGTTTCAATAAGATAAGGGAGAGGGACAGATGTGCACAGGCCTGCGGAAAGACATGTGAGTGAAGGGGGCCAGGGAATCATGGTGCTGGCTTATAAAGGCTGGGCTGTGCCTGCGCACACAGGCCCATGTGGCTGTTCTACGCATGCGCATAGATCACATGTTTGCATTGCATGCTTTACGCAAGCAAGCGTGTAAAGCCACAGTCCTGGGTCATGCGTTTGACCCGGAAAATGACTAGGCAGAAGTGACTAGGTCCCACCAGGCATGCCCGACCATGCCCAACAATGGGGGTGTGTTGTGAATTCATATCACAGCCACCTTACCATTGGTAACACCACTAGAAAATGGTCTCTCTCTTCTCCAGCAACCATTAAATGCTTGTAGAGCTTTGGGGGGTGTAGGGAGCATTTTAAAATAAAACAGAAAGAAAAAATCCCCAAACATTGCAGTCTTCTAGTGTTATAACTGGGGAAGGCTATTTATTTAGGGGACTCTTGGAGCAGAGTTTCACTTGGTAACAGATCATGGTCAGAATGCTTTGGAAGATGGATGGAACAGTTTCAGATTCTAAGCCTATTTTTAGACTTCTTGTCTTAGTGACTTTTCTCTTGCTATGATAATAAACTATGACCTGGGCACTTTCTAGAAGAGAGAGTTTGATTTGGCTGGTGGCTTCAGAGAGTTAGATCCCATGGTGGTGGCGCATAGGAGTAACTGAGAACTCTCATCTTGACCCCAAAACAAGAGGCAGAGAGAGAACCTTGGGAATCACACAGATCTTTTGAAACCCCAAAGCTCACCCCCAGTGACACTCCTCCAACAAGGCCACACCTCTTAACCCTTCTGAAGCAGTTCCACTAACTAAGCCCCAAGTATTCAAATATGTGAGCCTATGGGGACCTTTCTCATTCAAACCACCACAGTTCTTTATTGCCTACTGAATAATCCCTTGCAGGTTAGATCTCATAATGCTCAAATGAGTAGCATCTCCATGCATTATCCACTGACTCAGCCTTCACAGTCCTCCAGGGGCAGTTGTAGGAGAATTAGATCCATGTTTATCTATTTCACTTTATGACATGTATGTAGTGTGTCATAGACTGGTACTTATAAAGAGATGCAGATCTGGTAACAGTTGTTAAGGAGTCATCTGAGTAGAACTATATCAGTAAAATTTATTTTACATAGCAATAGCATCAAAAACTGTTAAATATTAATATAGCATTATTAGTAAACGTGAGTCTTGCATGTAAAAGTTCATCATAAGAGGCCCACATTCTTTCCACCCTGACAGATGAGCAGTTGAGTTTGTCATTTATTTACTCTGCCACAGAACTAAACAACAGGAAATCTGGAGCTGCATTTCAGGAATTCTGTTTGATCTCACGATCTCTCTCTCCCTCTCACTGCTTTGGTATTAAGAAGCAGTCGATGCTGAGGGCTGTTGTTTAGGAAGAAGAGAGACTAGAGCCCAGGCTCCAGTGTAACTTGTTGCTATTGTTCTCTGTGCCGGGTTCTGAACATCTACAGCTGCTGAATACAAATGGTGATGCTGTCAGTGTTCTTGCTGGCGCACTCCTGGGCATCTGAAGGGCTGCACAGAATCTTGCTTTTATATGCTGTCTGTTCTTATGGGAAGTGCAGCCTAGAGGCTCTCCACTGAACCACAGAATAGCTGCTCGCTTCTGGGAAGAACCGCAGCCACAGCCAAGCCCGATAAGAACTCAGAAGTGATGTGACTTATTTTGATCAAAGGTGTCAAGAGCTCGTAAGACAGGGGTTAGGCTGCGCCAGAGAGTGGGTGTGCTGGGTGGTTTTCAAACTCACAACCCCTAGCTTTAATCCCCAAAGACAAGATAGTTGTCAGCTTCAGTAGGTGTTCACAGTGAGCAGAAAGCCAAGAGGAGTGATAAAATGAACCACACTCATAAGGCAAGCAAATAAAGTGATCAAAGTAACCACCAAAGGGCAGTATGCTCAGAATCTTCCAGTGAAAAAAGTTTTCCAGTGATGTATTGATGTTATTGAAACTATGTGTAGGTGGGTTTTTTTTTTTAAGTGTAGATTTATTGGATTAAGCAATAAATCATCGTGACAACGAGACTTCCAAAGGCAGATCCATTTTGCAAGAGATTGTGTTGGTATGCAAAGGAGAGAAATAGAGACAAGGATTTTTGATATATTCTGAAGATTAGGTAATGAGCTGAATGCCCCAAAAATAGTGAATAGATAAGCTGTGGCTGTTTTGTTCCACCCAAGCTTCCCTTAGCTTGTCTGTTTTGCTTATGGCATGTGGTTTCAGCAAGGAGAATTTAACAACTAAATACCAGACAGGAAGAAAAAGACCCCAAAGTCTGGCAAGAAGTGAAGAAGTGATATAGGCACCCCCAGGATTGGTTAGGTACCAGAACTGGACCTGCCCCAGGCTGGTTCCCTTTCGAAGCACCTGCCTTTCCCATCTCATTCTGTTGCTATAAATAAGGGGATCTTCTAGCCATGGGAAGGTGATAATTGCATCTATAAATTGCTTCACTTTCAAGTTTCAATTCTAAGCTGTATTACCATTGTCCCAGTGGCCCTGCAAATGGCAGGAGGTGCCATTTCAGAGTGTAAACACAGCCTCCTCCTCTGCATGTCTTCCTGTCATTGAGTGGGGTGGGGACAGTGTGGAACCCTGGACATTATCACCATGAACCACTCACAGGGCTGCTTCTCGCTTACCCAGCAGTGGCTGCAGCCTGCAGTAGGCCAGCAGTTGGTCCCCTCTCTTTTGATCACTTTTAGTAGTTGATTTTAAGAGGTAGAAATTTTAAAAATCCAAGAAAATTCACTATTTCAAAAATCAGAGGGAGGATGCAGAGAGGAGAGTAATGCCAGACTTACTGAGAAAAGGAATAGCTTCTCCCCCCCTATTTTTTTTTCCTTTTCGAAAACTAGGGAATGCTGTCAGAGGAGAAAATAGTCCAGTGAGTAGGCGTGGTGGCTGGAGCTGTAACAGGACCCAGCCTGTAAAGAAAAGTCCTTAGAATGTATGGCCCCTGGGCAGCAATTACTCAGTCCTTATCTGAGTTGCTCTCTCCCAGGATGGTCCTGAATTCCAGACAGACGGCTCTTTAACCCCCCTGCTTCCTCTTCTGCTTGAACTCCGCTGTGGTAGGGTAATCTCTCTTCCTGTTTCCGCAGGGTGGAGGACTGGAGGAGGCCTGTTCTGTACACAGGTAGGGGAGGAACGTGGAGAGGGCATCCAGACATTCGACTTAACCCAGCCAGTGTCAACAAGACACATCTTAGTTTCCTGGCTGTGGCCCCAGTCAAACTTACTTGATGCAAGGGTGTGAATGGAAGCCTAGGGGTTACTAACCAGTCAAAGCCCCGGAGTCTCTGAGCTGTGTGTGGACATATTCCCACACTGGGTCTGCGATCTCAGAGCACTCGAGATTTGCATGTGCTGCAAATGTGGTCAGTGGAAATGAACTCTCAATTCAGCTTGGCAGCACGTGACTTCCTATTTCTGTAAGGTACTTCCAAGAGACTTCCTCTGTAAAGCCAGCTGAGAACCAGGAGATTTCCTTCAGCCAGTAGACAAAGTTGATTTCAGCTCTGGACAGAAGTTTGCCCTAAGAGATCAAGTGAGGTGTTTTGTTTTGTTTTGTTTTCTTTCTTTTTCTGCTGTTGCCAGCGTGCAAGGATCTCGTGGCTCCTGTCTGTGATCGAAAACTGAATACAGTAGTGCAGATCTCAGTAA